GAAACACATTTTGCTTCCTTTTTCCATACAGTAAATTTTTAAATGGACTGACTTCATAATGCTCATGGATGTCATTGCAAAAAAAATTACAGATTAGTAAGAAAAGCTATGACCCTTGGAAGTATATGTGAACTGATATTATTCTTGCTACATATGAAATGGGATCCCTATCCCAAATTTGATTTAGCTTTTGTTGCATCACATAAGAACTAAAGCTCTCTTTCATTTGTCACTAAGGGTGATAAATGCAGAGAATTTATACATCACTTTTTGGATTTGAGAAACCAATATTGCCTATTTCTCAGAATCAGAGGGCTGTCTTCTAAAATTAAATATTGGAAAGGTTGATATCTGAATTGTCAGTTTTCATACATTAGTGTATATCTAGGCTGAGTCACAGACAGAGATGAGTCATCGCTAAGGAATAAAGCTGGGGTTGGTTGGCCCAATCTCCAGCCTACAATACTGGTTAGAAGATGCTTCATGCCTTCTGTAAAACCTGCTTTTATAGATGTAAAACATCTGTAAAAGACCTGCTTTTTCATAGATCTAAAACATCTATGAAATATGCAGGAGCCCTGTCCCTTTTTGCATCTAGCTACTTTCACTTACCTTGAGAACCCTATCAGCATCAATATAAGTCAGTTCTGACTTGGCAGCATGCAACAACAGCAAACTTCACTGTATGAATCCAATGGTATTCAGGGTTTTTTTTTTTTTTGCATCCAATCCCTGCCTCTGTGTTTTCAACAGCAGTACGTAGCAGGGACTACTGCTTCCCAGCTGCACCAGAGAGCTGTACTGTATTTTAATTCCAACTGCATTTAGCAGCCTGTTGGCACAGGTCAGTTGAAAAATTGGGACCCTTACTGGGATACTGATTGTGTAAAGCAGAGCTGAGCAAAGTAGACATCCCCAGATGTTATCGGACTGGTATTCCTATCACCTCTAGCCATCATAGTTAGAGGTGAAGAACGTTGGGAATTGCAGTCCAATGATATTCGCAAGGCCACCGTTTGCTCACCCTACTATGAAAACTATTTAAAAATCTTTCTGTTCAGTTTGTTTCATGGCCTGAAAAAGGGATGGCCAACTTGCAGGGGCGTTCTGCTGAGATTGTCCCAATATGTTTCAAAGCCTTGGACTGTGAACATTCCTAGATTCAATCTGTGCCATATCAAGTTCGGAGAATTAGGCAGATTATGAAAAGTCCTTTGCTTTTAAATAAGAAGCTTGGAGTAGACAACATGGGGTTGAGTCAGCATGGGAAGTTCTGGGAGTTGTGGTCTAGAAAAATAACTTTCCCAAGCAGCACTTTAATTTCTACTTTCTCCGAAGTGCCATGCTGATCTGCTGTGCAACAAAGAAAGTGAATGAGGCGAAGGGTTTAACCTGTTTTCAGGGTGATGCACTAGTACATTCTCTTGCATTATGTAAAATTAAGATGCAAGTTGCTCATTTTCAGACCACGGATAAGTGAAACTGCAAATACTGATCCTATGGATATGGAGGTCCTACTATATATTTTGCCATTCCTGCTATCTTATAGTTGCACCTCCTGAGCATCCTTTGTCTCTGCTGACTCACTTTCACAGATTTCCTCTGAAGCTCATGTTTCTAGTTTCCTCCAATGGTTCTGGACCACTTCTTTTTCTAACTCTCTTGTCATACCCTGTTCTCTACAGAATGCTGCCTTTTCTGGTCCATCTATGTCTTCCTTCTCCTGTTTCTCTCTTAACTGCTGCCCTGCTCTTTCTGAAATCTGATGCGGCCAGAGATTTAACTGGTGACCCTAAACATCTGTGCTATGAAGGCAGTATAGAAATTACTTGCAGGATCTCCAAATTCCTTTGTGCTTTACAAGTCTAGCTGGCTGGATAACTAGTGAGTTAGGCATCTAGTTGTAGAGCCAACGGTTGAGAGTTCAGTTTTCCAGTGTGATCCCAGAAAAACCAGCCTGTGTGGCCTTGGGCAAGCTGCGCAATTCCAAGATGACCCCTAGAAGAAGAGGATGGTCAACCACTTTTGAGGCCTCTACCTAGAAAACCCTGGAAGAGGTTGCCATCAGTCAGAATTGATTTAATGGCACACAGTTACCAGGTCTACTAAGTATGCAGTACCTTACTTATAGACTGCTCTGCTGCAAGAGAAATAATTGTCCTGAGTTAAAGCTTCCAGTGCAAGATTCAGAGGATTCCTCTGTTTTCTGGCAGAAATCCTGTGGCCCACTCAGGGGTCAAGGACATAGACTAGGAGCTCTAGGAGATAGATCTGGGACTCTGGGAAATAAGTTGAGGGCTAGGGTTCCACGGCCTCCAACCTAAAAACACCCCTGGACTTGTGTGCTATTTGGTGGTCTGAGGATTTGAGGAAATTATCCTCTTTAAATTGGCACATACCAACAATGGAATCAAGTTCAGCAGCCAGACTACTGACTGGGGCTACTTATAGGGAGCACTGGCTACCAGTCCATTTCCAGCCCAATACAAAGTGCTGGTTATTACCTATAAAGCCCTATACAGCTTGGGTCCAGGCTACCTGAAGGACCGTTTCTCCCCATATGAGCCACTTTGGCATTTGAGATACTCAGGGGAAGCCCTCCTCTAGGTCTCATTGCCAGTGCAGGCATGGCTGATGGGAGAAGGCTTTCTCTGTGGCAGCTCCCAGATTATGGGATGCTCTTCCTCAGAAGATCACGCTGCTCCCTCCACCTTTTATCCTGAACAGTTTAAGACCCATTTCTTCAGGCAGGCTTTTAACAAGGTGTTTGCAATCCAGAATGCCTTCTTAGAGTTAAGATAGTTTGAAATGTTTGCATTTAATGATTCAATTGTATTTTAATTACCATGTAGTTTAATTGTTTTTCAAACCTTTAACTTATGTTTATAATTCTATTCTTTTTAACATTGTGAGCTGCCTTGGGTCTCCCTTATTGTGAGAAAGGTGGCATATAAAACAAACAATAAGTTTTTTTCCACTTCAATCTACCCTTTAAATGGTGGACAAATTTTAATTGCAGTTAAGTTTTCTAATGAGATTTTTTTTGTCCTTGGTCCAGTTGGCATAGTTGTATCTCTCATCCCCTTAAATTAAGCCATGCTTCCTGATGAGGTATATTGTCTGATATTTCTACACACTTTTGAAGGAGTAATATCTTAATACAAAGGTCATATAATATGTTAGCTTACACAGGCTTCTGGAAACATGAAGCTTAAAAAAAAAACTTCACCCAGTGATTCAAAATGCTTCTTAATCTGCATGAGAGATTTGTGAGGGGCAGGTAATTACAGTAATTCCCTTCTGGTTTTCCACGTGGGAATATTGAGTATGTGGGAACGTGTGTTCAGGATGATTCTCTTGTGAAAGTCTGGGCCACACTATTGTCCATGTGTGTAAATGTACCATAATTTAGTGATTTGTGAAAACAGTCTCATGACTTGTGTGTGATGGAGATCGGCAGACTTAAGAGCATGTTTGCATCTTGGCATTTCAGCTAGCTTATGTATCTGCCTGTATAAATATGTGAGTGCAGGCATGTGTGTGTGTTTATGTCCCCAAGTGCAATAAAGTGGCTGAGATATTTAGGTGTCACACTGTGTTTATCCTATCTGGAGGGCATGGTGGAATCCAGTCAAAAAGCCCAGTGGGTCCTTCTTTCTGCCTCCCATGTAGAAAGGACGAAGCAAGGCATTTTCACGGAAGGAAGGAGTGCAGTTTATCTTTAAGGAGGCCAGAGAAATAAAAAATGAAGCTCACGTTGCATGGGTGACATCACTACCTTTTAGGCTCGGCGGCGCCCTGTCTTCTCGGACTGGAGGCTTCATCCAAGAGTGCAGGGTGGTGTGAGGTGCGATGGAAGAAGGCGGCACGATTCCCGGGTGAGCGGAAGAACTGGGAGCCGCTCTTTGCTCGGGAGATTGGAGGATGGGAAACTAAAACGGCATCACAGCAGCCCCACCACCATCGCCACAGCCACCACCTCTCTCTCCCAGGGCAGGGAAGGGCCGGGCCATTTCAAGGCTGCCGGATGCTGGAGCTCGCCTACAGATCCCTCCGTTTCGGCGACATGGGTGAGTTATTCCCCTCGGAGAAGCCAGGGCGTGCTGGACGGATGGATCAGAAGCGATCCAACCAGCAAGCAAAATGTCTGAAGCGCCTCTCCAGCTGGTGAAGGCGGCACCGTGGCTCGCGTGGAAAACAAAAAGGAGAGACGGAGGCGAGGAAGGTCTCTGGACTCCGGATGGTGGATCAGGCCTCTCTCGGGGGGGACCAAGGAATGGTGCAGACCGCGAGCTGTTATTGACAAGCAGCTTTCCCCCACCCCTCCCCCCCTCGCATGGACTTGAATTGCCGGGCTTGGATTAATTAATTTATTTATCTCTCCACCGCTCTCCTTCCTGTCCAGCCTCCTTCCCTCCCTCGACCGCCGCTTACCATCGGTTTGGCAGCGAGCGGGGGGAGGAAACCGTATCCCCGCCCGCCGGTGTCGATCCCCGGACGCGCGCCTGTATTACACACGAGACCTATGTAAATAGAGGTTGCCTGGAGAATCTTTTGCAGGAGAAGCCCGAATCTAAAGAAGACTCAGCAGGGGAGAAGAGGGAGAGAGAGGCTTG